AGTAAATTCATTTATCATAAATAAAACTATTTATTACATATTTACCGTTGCGAGATTTTCAAAACTGACTTATAGAGACAATAGTTCAACAACATCATAATCTCATATTCAAGTAAGTAAAAATAACAATTTTTTCTTTTTATTTGCTACTGGTATCCATGGGAGTCTATAAGGATGTTTCACTATGCGTGAACTCATATCAAAACTTGTCAACTAACCGACCATCCTCATACTCCGTCCGGTATGAGTACCAAAAATATCATCCCTCAATACTTCGTATGGTATGAGGATGAAACGGGCCGTCCCTATACCTCGTCCGGTATGAGCACTAAAAATACCAATAATCGATACTTTGTATAGTATGAGGCGACGTTCATGGTAGGGTTCACTATGTACCTGGTCTGTCCACCATCTCCCAAAATATCCAGTAAAGCTATCATTTCTTCATTAACTTAACCAATCAATTTTTCGTTTACATTTAATTTTCAGTTTCACAATTTAATAATAAATCACGCAAAACAAGCAATATATGCATCAAAAAAACACAACTGAATCATTTTATCCATTTTAAGTATATTATCATGCATTTAAAACTGTAAAATCAAACAATCAATTAAAATATTACACACAATAATATTGATAGTTAGATTTTAATTCCATAACGAGGAATAAGGTGATGAATTCTTATCCGAATAAGTGTATGAAATATTAAACTTTCAGCTGCGCCTACTGGAGGTCTTCGATTTTCTTGAATTTTTTTGTGAAGGTAAAAACACGCTTCATGTATCTAAAAATACCTCAAAAATTTAAAATTAGTGTTAAAAACTGTTTCTGGCCAATTTTGGAATTCCAGCGCAGCACCACCATACTCTAGCGACGACACTGCCGTCCGCGGTGGTGGTTTGCCTCGGACTGGCCCTTTTTTGCAAGTTTTAACCAGTTTCGACCAGTTTTTATATCAATCCCTATGAGAAAACACGTTAAGGGGCATCGGTTTGCCCAAAAAAGTTAAAAAATAAAAACTTACTGGTTATGGAATTTTTCGGTATGGCGGTTTCGCCGGCTCACATTCCCGACTGAGCATTTTTCTTCGGTCAACCTGTAGAAAACAGAATGTTGAACATAATAGTAGAAAAATCGCACGAAATGGGAAACTAGAAGGGGGTCATCATATGTGATTTTCTATTTTTTTCGCGGCTGTGCCGTCGGATTCTACCCGCAGTTTTTGACTCATCCGCTGTTCCTTTTGCTCTAATTTAGCTATGGGTGTTTAAAATCAAATTTCGAGCGAATAAGATAATTTTTACCTTATTTGGCAGTCGGAGGTGGCTCCAGCGTGGCGGCAGGCGATAAACGATAGAAAGCTCCCTTCTCTGGCAATTGGTTCTTCTTCTCCAGCGGGGGTTTGGCAGCTAGGGTTTAGGTTTGGTGTGAAATGAGATATTTATACCTGTCTCTCTTAAATTTGGGCTGTTCATCGCGTTTGATATCAACCGTCTGATCTCATTTAAAGAGAAGATGAATCTGAACCATTCATCGCGATTTGATCTGGACCATACGATTGGGTTTAAAGAGATAATAAATCTGGACTACGCGAGTGGAAACGCATCCGGGCCGTCCGATCGCAAACACACGGATTGCCAGCATAGCCTCCTGCGTGGCACAGAGTCTGTGTGCCTTGCCACGCGGTGTACTCCGGTTCGTTGGGACTGTTGACTTGGCAGTCATACATGATACAATTTTCATTAATTGCGTTTTGATATCCATTTCTAATTTTTCTTTCAAAAATACATCCGAATCCAAATTTTCACCTATTTTTTCTAAAATTATTTTTAATTTTATCATTCATCTTTTTTTTTTTCTAATTTTATATTAAATAATATTTATAAATTTAAAAATTATATTTTTATAAATATATATATTCTCTTTTTAATTTTAAAATTAATCACGGACTAAATTTTTGGCCAGGTATTACAAAATTTTTTGCGGGCTTGTGAACATTTGTTAAAAGACACAAATCATTATTTTAACTTATATTATCATTATATTATATATATTTATGTGATTTTATTATATATGCATTAAGGTTTTAATTATAGTCATTAAAAAATTGTTATAGTCATTTACCATTTCAATATTAACATATATTTTTTTATCAACTTATGATTTTAAAAAAAAATTATGTATAAGTATTGACTAAAAATTAAGAATTATTTTTTAAAAGAATTTGGAGAAATTAAAATTAATTTTTTAAAGTAAATAAAATTTGCTGCCCAGAAAATGATTGTTTTCTCAAAACCAGTGATTTTTTTTTTTTCTCATTTACATTCTAATTATTGATTATTACTATACACAATTATTGTAGATTACATGTGGATTAGTGAAAAAAGAAATTATTTTTCTTAATCCCAAAACCAATTTTCTGCACACATATATATATATATATACACACGTGAGTTTAATTTGTATCAGAATTTAATTTGTAATATATATATATGTAAGAGCATCGGCTTAATATCTTTGGGCGGAGAGATGGTTGTACACTTTGAGCATGCACACCTCTCTCTCTCTCTCTCTATATATATATATATATATATGTTACTTCAGAAAACTTCCACAATGTTATTTTGTTAATTTTTATTTCTTACCATTCCATGTAAAGCATCAACACGAGAAAGTTGGACCATGCGTCCCCGACAATATATATATATATATATATATTTTAAAATGTTTTTATATTTTATATTTAATCCATTATTGATTTTATTTTATATCTAATAAAATTTACGTTCCATTTCATATAATTAATTAATATATATTTTTTTAACCTTCAATCATTTTTATTATTTATTTTATTAAATTATTCACAATTTCTTTTGGTAGAATTATCTTTTGAAGTTCATATTAAATTAGTTTCTTTATTTTACATCCCCTTTTTTTTGTGAAACATTTTAGATGAATTTAATTATTTACTTATTTACATTAATATCTATAACTATAAACACTATTAAATTATTATATTAATTAATAACAATACAATAATATAATAGTTAAAATTATTGTATTTTATTTAAAAATTATATTTTAAAATATAATTAATAACAATACAGTAATATTTGATTCACATTATGAACTGTTAGTACTTAACATATAATGTCTGATTTATTGAGATTAGAAATTTAAGTTATTAATATTTTTATAAAATTACAATAACCAAGTTATATTTAATCTCAACCCACATATTACATTATGTACAGAATAACATTAATTTGGTTGAGGAATAAGGGAGAGAGTAGATGCATGCATGTCTTGTCACATGAGAGTAGTACTTTCAATAAAATATGTCTTGTTGTTTATAATTAAATTGACATGTGATACCCTTTTAACTCTCAAATTCAAATTCATATATACATATATATATATATACTGACAAGAAAAAAAATGCCATTCATGGACAGCTCCACCGATCTGAGATGAATAATTGAACTGTTGTCGTCCCCTCTTCTCCACTCACCCATCAAAATCCAAAGTCTCAATTCATTGAAAGAGAAATAATACACATAATTAATTAATATAACAATCTATTTGTGTTCTTGTAGGAAGGTAAAGTCGATTAGTATGAAAAAAAAAAGTAGTGATTGTTTTTGGCAAGTCATCTCGGAGGCATTGGCATTGAAGAAATCTCTTGGTGATGTTAGACCCAAAAGTCTTCTAATTCTGACATACTTTTTTAATTCCTAATTTGGTTTTTTTTTTTTTTTTTTTTTTTTTTAAATTTTCCTCTCGTGGTTCGGGTTAGGAGTTTGGCAGAGAGATCTATTAGAAAAAAAAAAAATTAAAAAAAAAAAAGTAAAAATCGTAGTTAAATATTAAGAAAATGGAGGTAGTTTATTTTACCAGATACCAAAGAAAAGATTCATCCGAGATTCCTGATAATTGGGTGCCGTTATGCAGATTCTCCGTATATCTGAGGGTGTGTATAGAATCTGGAGGCGAAGAAAATGGTCAATGAATGAATTTAATTTCCATGGTAGTTCAAATTAATAAGAAAGAAAGAAGGTATGGAGTATGATATAATGTAATATGGTTGAATCTCATTTATGAACTTTTTTGTTGGATAATAGTGAGTGAATTGAGGAGGGAAAGCCAATGAAAAGGAAAGATAACGATGGCAAAGCTGTAAAATGCGTAAACTGGGCCTGGCTGGCTTGCTGGGTCCTAGGAATATAAGCACAGCCAGAGAGGTGTATAAAAAGGGTTAAGATACATAGAGTTACACAGAGAAAGAGAGAGAGAGAAAAGAGTTGCAGGGGAAGACCAAGAAAGAAGAAGAAGAAGATGGTGATGAAAATGGAAGAAGGGATTGATGATTACACAAAAGATGGGACTGTAGACCTTAGAGGAAACCCTGTTCTCAAATCCAAAAGAGGTCGATGGAAAGCTTGCTCTTTTATAGTTGGTACTTCTTCTACCTCTCTCTCTCTCTTCTTTTCAGTTTCCATCTATAAATTATATCTTCTGCTCATCATCATCTTCTTTAATCTTTTAAGGTACCTGTAAATCTAGATACTAAAGCTACCAAGATGATCTTCATCTTCTCCTTTTTACTTTTTACTTTTTACCATCACTTGTAATATGTTCCTGCAAAAATTGAGATTCCGTTTCGAGATTTTACTTCTACCATCAGACGTATTTTGTTGAAAAAGAATTCTCAGCCGAAAATCGTGCTATTAACTCAATATCTCTTCAAAAAGAAGAGAAGGAATCTTTACAGATCATGCATTCGTTCCATTTTTCCTGTATTTTACGTTTTCATTGACTGAGTTTTCAATCTTCTTCATCCAACTGAAATTTTTTCTCTTTTACTAATTTATGTTTCCTCTAACATTCAACAGTCACAGCCCCACCTCCAAATTCACACCCAGATTTTTTCAAAAAAATTATAATTTTTTATTCGACAGCCACATATTCCGGGTCTTTTTTGTTTTTTGTTTTACAGATATATAAATATAATGTATATGTATTACCCAATACTTGTCATCCATAACTGGTTTTCTTTGGTCTTTTATAACCAAAAATTCAGAAATTGAATCTCCTAAAAGCTCCGACCCGTAACTCTCAATACAACAGCTCCAAAACCAAAAACATATGATTGGACCCATGAAATTTATCACTTACAATTAATGACTTTTCCCATCGGTTATGTTATTATATATATATATATATATATAACTATATAAATATATATATGACTGGTAAAAAGTGGACGACAGTGTATGAGGTGTTTGAACGGATGGCGTATTACGGGATATCGAGCAACCTGGTGCTTTACCTGACTCGGAAGCTGCACGAGGGCACGGTGACATCCGCCAACAACGTCACCAACTGGGTTGGCACAATTTGGATGACTCCCGTCTTGGGCGCCTACGTCGCCGACGCCCATCTTGGCCGCTACTGGACCTTCATTATTTCTTCCGCCATTTATTTCTCGGTAACTATCCATTTTAATCTTACTATTCTTACCACTTAATTAACTCAATTTCTACTCCTGGATCACCCAATAAATAAATGCTTCGTGCATTTGTTACTATCTAACATTTTCATAATTGCGTTTAAAATTTAACTTTTACCTTATCTACATATATCTGTTCTGTACGTATATAGACGAGTTAATCAGTGGATATAGAAGTGTTGACTATGAACTTTTGGTTTTATAAGGCGATGGGGTAGGAAAAAGTCGTGATCTGCGATCTGTATCATATGAATTATAATAACAATTCACCAAACGTAACAGGTGGACCACGCACGCTTTCTGATCTCACAACTTGTGTCTTGTCCGCACTTGACTCTAACATCTTTTTTTTTTTTTCTTTTTTAACCTCGATTAATACTGTTAATTTCACCATTTCGCGTTAAAAGAAAAATGAAGATCAGGATTTGGATTATGTAAGGGTTCATAAAACGTTTATTTGATTCTGCAGGGGATGTCTCTACTAACCCTAGCAGTATCAGTCCCTGGACTAAAACCACCTCCTTGCTGTGAATCAATTAATGGAGGAGGAGACTGTAAAAAAGCTTCAACTTTACAGCTAGCCGTATTCTTTGGCGCACTCTACACGCTGGCAATTGGAACCGGCGGAACCAAGCCTAATATCTCGACAATGGGAGCTGATCAATTAGATGACTTTGATCCCAAGGAGAAATCACTCAAGCTCTCATTCTTCAACTGGTGGGTGTTCAGCATTTTCTTTGGAACACTTTTTGCCAACACAATTCTTGTGTATATACAAGACAACGTGGGTTGGACTTTGGGCTATGCTCTTCCGACCCTTGGCCTTGCTGTATCAATCTCCATCTTCTTGGCCGGCTCACCCTTTTACAGACACAAACTCCCGACTGGCAGTCCTTTCACCAAGATGGCTAGAGTCATTGTTGCTGCTCTCAAGAAATGGAGTCTCCCTCTCCCCACCGATCCCACACAACTCTATGAACTTGATTCTGAAGAGTATGCCAAGAATGTCAAATTCAAGATTGACCCAACTCCAACCTTGAGGTAGTTCCTCATGAACATAAAGATAATTCATTTAAACAACTTAGTGTAGTTTGAATTCTGAAATTTGTGGATGCTATATGCAGGTTCCTCAACAAAGCTTCAATCAAAACAGGTTCAATTGATCCATGGATCTTGTGTTCAGTCACAGAAGTAGAAGAAACCAAACAGATGATTCGAATGTTACCCATCTTGGTTTCAACGTTTGTTCCGAGCACAATGATGGCTCAGGTTAACACCCTTTTCATAAAACAAGGCACCACTCTGAACAGACGTGTCGGCAACTTCAACATACCACCAGCCAGCTTAGTTGGATTTGTGACAGCGTCTATGCTTGTCACCGTTGTTTTATATGATAGATTGTTCGTGAAGATAATGAGAAGATGGACCAAGAATCCCAGAGGAGTTTCTCTGCTGCAAAGAATGGGAATTGGCATGACTCTACACATCATGGTTATGACAACTGCATCTTTCATGGATAGATACAGACTGAGTGTAGCTAGAAAAAATGGGTTGATTGAAAATGGAGGTCAAGTTCCGTTGACCATATTCATTTTACTACCTCAGTTCATTCTGATGGGGGCAGCAGATGCTTTTCTAGAGGTTGCAAAGCTTGAATTCTTCTATGATCAAGCACCTGAGAGCATGAAAAGTCTGGGTACTTCATATTCCACAACCACGTTGGGCGTCGGGAATTTTATCAGCAGCTTTCTTCTTTCCACAGTTTCTGAGATAACGCAAAGCCATGGTCGCCAAGGATGGATTCTGAACAACCTAAATGCTTCTCACTTGGACTATTACTATGCATTCTTCGCCATACTCAACTGTGTCAACTTCCTTTTCTTCTTGTTTGTCGTTAGGTTTTATGTGTATAAGGCTGAAGTTTCAGATTCCATGGACGTGCTTGCCAAACAATTGGAGCTCATGTCCAGTGTCAAGGAATCCAACCAACAACAGCTTAAGCCATCGCTAGTCCAATAACGAATTTATAATTATGTATATGTATACAGTCAACAATAATTGCAGCTTGTGTAAATTCAAGGGGAAAGTAAACGTAACTTAGTTAATTAAGCAATTATGCTAATGCCTATGATAGCTTTTGATCGGTGCAAGTTAAACATCTTCATCTTCTGATTTTATTTTGCTAATTTACTCCGTCACGTGTATATATTGTTCAAATTATATATGTGTATATTATTGTTGATATAGCTTGATTATGGAAATATTTTATCTATATATATATGAGAATATTTTCTATATATTTTGTAAATATTTTGTATTTATTATATGAGATATTTTATATATATCTAAATTTTTTTTTTTAATTTTTCTAAAATTTTTTTGTAATCTTGTTAGTAATATTTTCTCAAATTATCATAATGATTTTTTTTTTTCCTCAATGTTACTTGTAGATGTAGCTATACTTATTGAATTATCTTAAATCTCGTTTTTTTTTTTAAATTTTTACTGTGATTATGTGGGTTTTGAGGATTAATTTTTCTATCAATAATATTTTCTTAGGAACAATTAATATTTTTGTAGATTTTTACCTGCATCAAAATTCTTTTAAAAAGAATACTTTGTTGTTTTTAATTACTAGAAAAAAGAAAATTATAT